CTTCTCAACGAACTTCCCTTTTTTCTTCTTTGTTCTGTATTCAATTGTTTTTTTTGTCTTTTTGCGATGTTATTTTATTACTGTTACAATACATTAGAAAAACAAATATTCAACAAGATATTTTGATTAAAACGACTTGAATTAAGACCATGTGTTCGACATTTGATATTTTCATGTTGAACTGTCGATCCTGTTCATCTAATATCCATCTAAATTCTTCCATCTTCCATATCTAAACAATAAATGATTCTTTTCATGAATAAGAAGATTGTTTCCTACCAATTAATTACTTGTATTAACTTCAATTTGAATAAAGTCGAATTTTGTTGGACATTTTTCTCCTATTATATGCTTCATAATAATCGTTTCATTTTCTTTATCATCACATCCATTAACTACATTATCCAATTTGTAAAGTGATTCCAATGTCTTTTCTTTCATATTGACACCGTTACTATTTCCATCGAACAATGCACACTTCAAGGTTGCCTCTTTTGCTCTATTACAACCTAGAAAACTGCATTCATTTAAAAGATGAAGGATTCAATTCTTATTTTACCTTCATCAGTATCACGAACAACAGTTTTCTAATGTTGATTGTCTTTTATGAATATTCTATTTCTAAGAAACAGCTAATTGACTAACAAAATTTTTTCCATGATATTTTAACACATAACTATCATCATCAATGAATATCTCCAAAGTTTCAGTGAAAATACAACCATTCCAACTAATCCCTAATTAAAAGAAAAATAAACATAAGTTTTTTGCGATGTAAATAAATTCATATACCTTTTTGGAACGATGCTTTGTTCATCTTATTTAGCAAGATTCCATCATAACGTAACAAATAATAACATCACAGATGACATACTATATCTACGGTCACCACACAGTCCAACACACAATCACAATACACAGCACGACACACCACAGGAATATCTAAAATTAAAATAAATGTTACTAATTGTGGTAAAAAATTCGTAAAGAACTTACTTTACTGAACGTATTTATGGAGACCTTCGCGTATCTTTTCTATCTAGGAAAGGTTATATTCAATAATAAGTTTTAGAAAAAGAAAAAGAAAAAAATCATTTAGTACTTTTAATAGTTTTGTTTTTAACATTGAACGTGATTGTACGAAACCACCGATGCCGGCACCTTTGCCGGTGATTTCAGTTAGCCAGATCTCCTTCTCCTATTAAAAAAACCGTATTATATAGATTGATTGGGAAAGCTTACCTTGTCGTCGAGCCTGATATCGCATAGTTTCACGAGGGCATCAATAACACGAGCGATTTGATTGGCTGGTATTGGTTCATTGTCGGCATGGACGTTCATTAACCCATCGATTAATGCCTGAACTTTTACGTGACTAATCGCATTCTAAACAGGAATTCGATTAATGGGCAGGATAAGGATATCAGAAAATTCTTACGGCCATGTGAAGTAACAAAGAGAGAAATCGCATACAGCTGTAGTAAAAATTAAGAAAACAATTCATTGAAAATAGTGGGAAAAAACGTTAAATATAAATCCAATTTTTTATTTCATCAGTCTTTATTTTTACTAATAATTAGCTAAGCGATTAATAAAAAAAAAACACACGAATCTTTGATTTTGTGATCAGTTAATATTTGCAAGATTCAATTTCGAAAGGTATTTGTGTTGAACAAATATCTGGTGAATCAATGGGAATGTAAATAGAAAACAACGAAGGTGAATAAAACTCATTTGAAAACATTAAAATTTTCAATAGCCATGAATTTTGCAGGGGTTGGCGAAAAATGTCTGTAGTTGATACTTGATGTACTCACCATAAGGCGTTGAGTTTAAAGCTGCCGCTATATAGATTCGACGCATACTTGAAAATTTTCTGATGCATATGGAGATTTTTTATTCGATACACTAATAGATTTTTTATAGTTTTATAACATGATCGATTGCATTACATGTTATGACACATAGCGATTCATGACTCGATAGGTTTCTTGTCTAAAATAAGTGTCCTGCAAGTATTAAATCTATTTGTTTATATCATAAATTTTACTGAATATTTTTAATTACATAGGCAATGAATGAATAGTAAATAAAAGAAGAGTTTATTATTATTAGCAAATCTACAGAGTTTACAAACAGAAACAGATATTAAAATTGTTATGTTCACTAGACGAATTCTGAACGCTTAGTTGTTCTTTTAAATTCTCTTAAATGAGGTGGAGCACGCGTCATTCTCTCTCTCATCATCATCATATCTAACGAAAATTAGTCTTCATTCGAACTGGAAACGTCCAGCAAACGAATGATGATAGAAGAAAATCTCTGCGAAATTATGAACTCCAAATGGCTCAGAACTCGAAAATTGTTGCAGCGATTTAAAGAGAGTAATCCAATAGATTTTGTTTTGCCTCGTTCCCTATATGATAAAGCTATTTTAAAACTCAGCATCTTTGGCAACCAGTAGGAGCTGCTCATTATTGACAGATGTCAATATAAAAATGTTTTGATGCATTCCATGGAACTTTTTTATTGGTCCTGTATGTAACCCTGTTTTACTTTAGTTTTAAGAAAAAAGATCATACGAAAATTATTTGCCATTCTTAAGACTTGAATAACCAAGTTCATACATCGCAAAAAAAGAAACAATATCATAAAATGACTGTTGAATTTCAATATTCAATGAGGTACATCTTGATGTTTCAAAACAATTCTACTTCTGTCAAATATGCGTGACTCATTGCTATTTTGATATTATTGAATTTAGAAAACTATTCTTTGATTGATGCATCAGAAAAATAAGGCATGATAATATGTCTATGACTAGCATTCGGTACTTGAAAATATTCCAAGTTTAATAGTCGAAAACAAAATATCACATCATCGCATAAAGTTGAAATATCTTTCTTTTAAATTTCTACGAACTTTGTTATATTTATTTTTCATGTGTTCGACCTGTGTACTGTCTGCCGTGGTTTTATCTGATATTATATCAGTATAAAATAATCTAGCACTGTGTCGTTTTTTTCTACCACACATGCGTATATACTCGCAGAATATTCTTGAACTAGCCAAACCTTTCATCTACATTGATAATTTTGTAATAGAGAATAGGGCGGATCGGGTAAGTTTCATCTCCTGACATATAATCATATGTCATAATCTTGTGTTTTGATGTAAAAGTATTTGTATAAATATTTACATGCATACATACACATTTTCTACTAAAGAATACTTCTGTATTCACGAAGATCGATAACACTTATGGTTACGTGCGCATCACACATTGACAGTTAATAGGTATATGCAGATGGGCAATATTATTCATGATCAATGCGCTTTAATAAAAATAAGAATATCATTTAACTTGAAATGTATTTCAGCTAATTCTATGTAGATAAAATGAAAGAACTAAGACTATATTTGCGAATCACTACACTGGTGTACTTTGTAAAAAGATTCTTCAAGCTAGGAAATCCTTATACAAATCGTTCGATGGATATATATGCTTAATTTTTTGAAGCGATCTGTATTTATTCTTTGTTAAAAGTGTATGTGAGTAGAAATTTGTCGAGTTGAAAATTTCATCAAAAAGATATTGAAGGTATAGACGTCGCGTCACATTTACATATTTATCTATAGAAGAAAAGCAACCTGTAGAAAGAGACGCAATCACAATTCTTGAATATATTTATTTCGCATTTGACATGAGAATTTGATAAAAATAGTTTAACCTTTTTTTCAATGTTATCATAAAAAAAAGTCGTCGGTTAGCGCCATCTATAGAACAAGGTTAGCCGCTCAATGTTCTATGCAATTTAACTCAGAAATCAACAATGTCAGCTGCTAAAGTATGCATTTTTCTGCTTCAGTCAATATTTCCGTGCGTTATTTCTTTGATTTGCGCGCTTAATATTTTTCTGTTAAAAATACCTTGAAACTATTCATATTATGATAATAAAGATTTAGGAATTCGTTGATTACATTTGACAATATAATGGAGCACGTTCGTCGTTTATTTGCTAAAGTAAAATAGTTTCCAACTGAATCTTATGAATATTCGTCTTTGAAAAGAAGAAATCATAAAAGAAAAAGAGGAAATAGATTAAATTTATTTATAAATGTAAGATATTACACCATTAAATATCTATAGCAAAAGCAGAAGAAAAAAACTGTATAACTATGCAAGTGCCAAATTACATTCTCTTTCGACATTGAAATGAGTCATTATACATGTACGATGATAATTATACCGTTCTAATCATTTATGTAAACAGTTCGAATATTTTTGTTGCTGCAGCCAATCATTTATTGGCAAGGGCATTTTTCTTTGCTTCGTCTACTTACCCATTTTTTTCCGTCATACTGTTTCTTTTTCGTATTCTTTTGTGCAGTATAATAATGTACAATACCGACTCAATGTTATTCTCTTCTAATTCTAGACGATTGCATATCATCGATTAACTGAAAAACCTTCATTATTAACATTTGGCAATTTTGCCAGTACGATTAATATGATTTCAAATAGTCCAGATCATGCGAAAAAAAGTAGCGTCCTAGAAAAACTTGGACAAAAAATAACCACGTTTAAAGAAGATGTGGTCGATAATTTTGAACGTCGTAAACAATCGCAAAATAAGACTATTCATAGTCAAATACATTTTATTACCCATACAGATCAATCAGAAGATTCATTAGTTATCGAAAAAAAATCTTCAGCGCCAATTGAAATTCCGCAAAAAACTGCTTCTGGTAAGATTTGATAACAAGTTTATTTTTATATCCGAGAGACAAGTGCTTTTCTATCGTAGAATAACTCTTGTCGAATCTCATTACCAGCTGTTTCTCTTTTCTCTATTGTATTTACTGAGGAATACAAACTACTCTGTGCTTGATTCAAACAAGTGCATTCATTTTACGCAATGAAAAGTTTTTGAGAACAAATATGTTTCATTTGCGTTTGTTCCATTTGAAAAAAAAGGCTGTTTCTATATAAATCATTTTTATGACAAGCATACTGATAGGATTTTCATCGAGACATTAAAATAAATGTGTCATATGTCTATATACTAATTATTCATTTATCGTTTTGCTCTGTCCACATAAGTAGACATGAATAATTGAATTCTATGTGCTGAATTGTGGTACTATTGCATGTGCGCTTGTACAAGAAAAGTCTATGATTAGTCTTATTGTTTCGAAACATGCCAAGAGATCGATTAATGATTACTAATGAGCTACTTCGATAGTATATAATAGAAAAGACATAACAATATTAGCTAAATCTCGTTCGCCCTCAGAGATTTAAAAATAGATATTATTTATTCAAATAAAATGAAAATGTACTAGCTAGTTGCATCATGGGAAAACAATTATAGATGCGTGGAAGTTTAGATTCTTATCACGTTCGCAAAATACATTCTGAAAAAAAAACCAATATATAGCTTTTGATATCGTTTTTTTTTACTCTTGGATAGACCGTATGAAAGCAGCACTAAGCAGAAGTGAACTATTGTTGTTGACTTGATCATAAGTACAGTATAACTAAATTGTAAGACAAGAGAACGGCCTAGGAAAGAAAAATGCCGTACAGATCATAGAATATACTTTTGAATGGCATGTCAAGAAATATAGGATTAGGAGGATATGGATAAAATCCCTCAGCTGCACTCAAGAATCCAATTATTTTTTGTGAGCCCGTTGGAAAGTAAGCTTGTTTTTGTACACTTCTGGTTATTATTTTTGTCTATCAGCACTCTCTCTCTCTCGGCAGAACGAGTTGATTGATATGACGAAATCTGTTTCTCGACATTTGTTTGGTTTTAATCATAGAATAGAAGAGCTAATTGGTCTCTATTTTTTCATACTTTTATAGAGGATGAATGTTCGATTGGGGAACGATCGAATTCAACATCTCAAGTAACATTAACAAGTGCGATGAAAACAACGAACGACCCATCGACACCTGTCAAAAGTGAAAACGTTTTTAGTAATTCGTTTCAAGACATTTTTTCCACAGACAACAGTGAACAAGCAAAAGAGTTAATAATCAATAATGTACGAAATGGAGTGAATCGTAGTTATAGTGGAGCACTAAGTGAAAGTGGCTCAGATGATTCTGCTATTAAAAAAAACGATACTGTTGATACAATCGTTGACCCTACTGTTAAAAATAAACGAAAAGCAACTATGCTATTAGCGGGACCGAAATTCCGTTATCATACTACTGAACCAGAGACTAGTTTCCAACGAGATACAATTTATCCTGTATCGGTATGTAGTGAAATCGAATTGAATTATTATTTTAGTTTTTCTCTTGACATTAGATTGTTGTCGGTATAACTTCAATAGTAACAATTTTATGGAAACCAATATCTCCGTTGATTAGTGGCTTTATTCTTGGTTTTCTATGCTCATCGGCTATTGCTTATATTATTATACGAATCTATCTTAATGCCAAAGCTGAAGAGAAAACAATTTATGAATGGATAGATTTTCCTGAATTAGAATCTGTAGTCACTGAAAAAATCAATAAAATCGATAAAAATAAAACTTCTCCAGTAAGATTTTTTTTTAATAAAAACAAAATATGCGAAATCAATCGTTTTTAGACATGCTGCGAAATTATTTTTGGTCGATTCGATGCTGATCTAGATCATGAATTTATTCGATATCCAGTTGTCATTCGTCTTGAGAATGATCATCTGATTATTCAACTACCAGCCAAAGCAAAATCAGAAGAGAAAAAAGAAAAAGAAATCAAATTTATCGGATATCGAGAATATTCAATAAAAGGTAATCTATTCGTAGACTAATCGAGATTCCCACCGGATGAAATTTACCATCAACAGTCCTAAGTTGAAAAGCCTAATCTTTTCACGTTTCAGAAGTCCGACTATCACAATCGATTAATTTTGAGCTGATAACTTCTCGTCATGCCGAGAAGATTATTATTATATTCCATGTAGAAAATGCCTCGGCTTGACTCTCCTCTTACTGTCAACTATGAAATCTCTTTTTATTCTTTGGAAAATGTCCAAGTAATTAATTTTTCTCTGACAGAACCATAGCTCAGCCTCGTTGTGCGTGCTAAAAAGTGAATCAGCTAATTCTAGATGAGTCTTGAATATTTCTGTCATTCATTATACTCACTAACCTATTTTTCTCCACAAGGCAATAACACGCATTGGGATTAATGTCGAATCCTGTTTTTGTTTATTGTAGATGTGAAATTGATACTCGTCCCCGAAGGCACATTAGGACGTGTAAAATATTGGGTAAATGAATATCCCATTGTAATAAACAATGTACAAAGTTTAGATACACAAATAACCAATAAACAAGCGTATGAGAAATCAAAATTGGATCTTGATGATTTTTTTAATAATGTTCAGTCGAATTTAAGTATTTTTTTTGAAACTTGTCCTGATAAAGAAGATTGGTATTACAAGTAAAGAAAAATAATATATGTGTTTTAATTTGTCTCTAGAGTGATTTTGTTTTTGATAAATTTAGATTATTATTCGCTGCACGTAAAAATAAAGAAGAGACTGAACCGCTTCATCGTTCATTAATCAACGCATCATCAACTCCGCAATTGTGTTCACCGGCATTTTCACCAGTATTTCAATCGATGGTGTCAAGTCCTTCTGATACACAAATTCAAACATTAGGTACACGTACGTCTTCAAAACAATCTAATCTAAACAACGTGGAAAATCGTGCACGAAAAAAATCGATTGAAAGTACGGGCTCATCGAATCTTGATACGACATCACTGGAAAAATTTCAAACAGAACCATTACGAAGTCAAATAAATGACGCTGACGTCAGTAGTGATATGACACAAGCCGGTATTGGTGTCCAAGAATTACGTGCAGATATATTAGAAAAAGATAAGAAATCAAATGATAAAGATTCAGATAAAGATTCTACTGGCACACAACAACGTACAGGATCAATTAAGAAAAAGTCGCGTAAACAAGAAGAAAACCTTCTTCGTATACTAAGTTCGCCTGATTGCCTTAATGAAGCAGCCTTAACATTAAATTTTCTTGTACGTCGACTTTTTTGTGACGTTTTTCAAGAATCGTTCTTTAAAGATTTGTTAAAAGAAAAACTGGAGCTTAAATTGAAAGAACTTGCTGTAAGTCGAATTTGAAATTATTATTTTGGATTTATTCTTTTATCGTTAGGTGAGCGTACTTCATGATTTACGTATCGAAACAATTGATATTGGCAATACATTTCCTGTTATTCTTAAAGTTGAACCAATGCAATGGAACCCTAAGGGGCTTTGGATTAATTTATTTGTTTGCTATCGGGGCAGTTTTAAGTAAGTTTAGTTATCGAGAATCGCCCTTTTGATGTTGCGAGGAGAGACGTAAAACTGGATTCTGACTGGCTAGATACGTACAAGATAAAAGAGCAATAATAAAATAGAAAAAAATTTTCTGATGGTAGAAATACTTCTTTTACGGAAAATAAAATTTACTTTAACTTTACCTACTTTCTTAAAGTATTTTAAAGTTAAAGTGCCACTTCGAGTATCGATGTAGAAATTTCGGCTGCCTGTAATTTTTTGGAATTTCCGGAATCTTTTTTTTGTGAATCAATCGAGTGCCCATCCGTAATCGTATATTCTAGATCAATAGAACTTCATTCTAATGAATGAACTATTGCGTTTTGTTTTCTACAATATATTTTAAAAGAAATATTCATAATAATTCCCATGAAATTAAATAAATTTTTGAGCTTATGCTAACATTTATAATGGCTTGCAATAGCAAAACAATGAGTTATCATGATTTTGAGCATACATGATCGTTTTTAAACACTTTTCTTTGGCAATGATAGTTACGCAGCTTACAAGAAAAAAACAAAAACTTCAAGTTGCTTCACGTTTTATTCAGATTTTTTGTGTGACTTCGAATATTTCAAGAATCATTAAGTCTATTATTATTGTAGAGTTACTATTCGAACTCGTATAGTTCTTCAAACATTATTTTCTACCAATGCATCTGCTGCTGAACAACCTATACGTTATCAACATTATTCAGGTCAACTCGTTCCTAACGATGATGAACAACGTGTAGACAATGAGGACTCTATTTCGCGTCAAAGACAATCAAATAAAGATCCTGATATATTTGAAAAGTAATTGTTTTCTCTCGATTTTTCATATCTATATTGAATATATATTTTTTGACAGTGCGGCTGCAAGAAAATTGGGCTCAATATTATCAAAAGTGGCAGGAAACAAACATTTTCAACGATTTGCTGCTTTAAAACCAGTTGCTGGCGTTATAGAAAAACTATCCAATGCTGACGTGGGCGCAAATATTGAATTAACAAATCTAAATGGAATTATGACAGTACGGTGATTTTATTATCTTTGCTATTTAGTTTCCTTGTGTCTATTTTTTCTTTCTCGTTCCAAAGATTAACATTCCACCACCACCAAGTGATCGTATATGGTAATAGTTATAGCAAATAATTTAGTTTTCTTCATTAACCATATTTTGAAATAGGATTGGTTTTTCGGAAATGCCTGATTTAAATCTCAAAGTAACGCCCGTATTTGGCGAAAGTAAATATTCCTATACAATAATTCATGATTATCTTGAATCACAAATTCGAGACGAAATTAAAGTAACATTTTCAAACGAAGGTTTACGTTTTTTCTTTAACAAATAAATATTTTTTTAGCGTGTACTTGTTCTACCAGCAATGGATGATCAATTATTGCCATTCTTTCGCGATTGGGTTCTTGATATGATGTATGATTTTGTTAATGAAAGGTTTTTTTTTCGTTTAATCGTGTTCTTTTTTTTAGGAGTGACCTATCTACGATTTCATCAAACAAAAACCTTAATCCAGCTGATGGTGCCGAGTGTTAAGATTTATTTTTATTTTTCTTGTACATTTTATTATTATTTTTTTCCGGATTTATTATATATGTTGTTAGAGAATGAAATTTTAACTATCAATATATAAATCGTCCCAATGCTTTTTTATATAATTCATCACAGATAAATGAAGACAATTATTTACATTTATTAGATCATTCTCAATTTCCATTTGTCGTTGTGAATCATTGCTAGCATTAAACCATTGAGTAAGATAAATACGAACATTTGTCGAACTGACAGATCGAGTCGATAGATTTAATAGGAGAAATTCTTCTGGATTCGGTATTAGATTTTTCCTCAGATCTCCTTGCCAATGTTCTAATAGGTTTATATTTTCATTCATTATTCGTCCGACACCAACACGAATGACAGTAGACGTTTTACTCGATGGCCTTCGCCAAATCGGAATACCACTTTTTATCATTCGATCACCACCGATAAGAATTAAAGTTTGAATATTATCATTTTTTAACAGCCGTTTCAAACGTTGACTAAGCGCAAACGCGGAACCATCATGTTGCTGTAACATTTCCATTTGAAATGGACTATTGGCTAGCCATGGTATATCTTTCATGGCTTCGTGAACTAGCGCTAAGCGATGCTTCAATTTAATTGTACGTTCATTGCGTTTTTGTAATTTGTGAAGAACATAATTATCAGTTGCGACAGCTAAATAACCACCGACTATATTCCATTGACCAGTGGCTTCAAGTTCTTGTTTAGCAAGACATAACAATTCTACGTGTTGCGTATGTACGGGATTGAAAGCACCACCAAGAACAACTATAGCGTCCTTCATATATTTTAGTTTTCGTGATGCTTTTAACAACAAAAAAGAGTTGCTTTTATGTGTTGTTTTTTTCTTCGTTACCGTAATGAATCAGAATATTGTGTAATTACACAATTTCGCTACGTAAAGAAAAACCACTTCTTTGCTTACGAATAGTTTCAGTTGGTTAAGTCAATTGAAAGATCGTTCATATTTTTGCGTATTTCCCGCAAATCACGATTTTTACCACGATTGACTATTTTGAATGGGGATAATATCTGATATCATTTATCATTTTATTTTTACCTACAATGTCACGCTATTCGATTTCAATCAATTGACAAAATCAAATATCATAAATCTAAACATAGCTTGAAAGAGGAATGCTCTTTTTTTAATTTGACTTTCCTATTGGATTATATTGAGCCAATATCACACGCGTTGATATCGTTACGTTAATAATGTACACTAGACATCGATAAAGAAAATTTTCTTTTTTCTTAATGTAGTGAAAAGAGGAGTGATAAATTTTTTTTTCTTTTCATTGGGCCGAAAATATATTGGCTTGGTTGTGTTCTATTGGCATAGTATGCTTATTGACGCCGACAGGTATGGAATTTCTATTAAACGAAAATAGAAAATAGAACCTTGCCTATCAATAGACGTAGATTTTTTCCTAAGTGAAAATTTGATAATTATCTTATCATCTGCCGAGATCATTGAGTATGGCGAACTTGTTAAACTTGGTAGTCTTTTATATGTACACAATAAAAACGAAAGGTTGCCTAGTGATCATACATACTAATTTTTCTATCGAATTTCAGTTTTATGGATATTTAATACAAAAGAAAGGCTTGTAAAATGTCATTAAACAGCAAAGAATTTCTTTGACTAACTTTGAAAAATAATAATAAATTGATTAGAATTCAATAGCGGAATATTAATATTACAATTTTCTTATCGGATAATAAATATAGACATGACTTTGAATTGTATAGATTAATTTCAGAGCAAATAGAGACGCTTATCGTACTGAAGATTCTGTCAATAAACGAATTCAATGACTTTAAATAGATTCTTATAGGAACTCCCATAAAAATGTCTCGTAATTGGAGTTTTATTGATATGTACTATAAACTAATCATAAAAATTCACGGTCACTTTTTTTCGTCTTCTAAAAGTAGAATTCATAAATTTCCTCTCACTTTCAACCCTTTCTGTCATAGCACATTCAGAATCCTTTATTTAACATCCCTGATTGAATTTCGATTCTTAAATTTGAAATTCAACCGTTGACAAGTGCTATTGAAAGATAATAACAATCTATTGAGTATGATATCATGTTAAAACTTGATTCATATTCGCTTGCCTACAATATCGCGTCATTTTTCATATCAAATATCCATCAGCATCATGCAATGATTTGATCGTTAATGAATTACTAATGCATTCATTAGTTCCTACATGAGTAATCTATAGCATGAACAATATATTTAAGAGTTTGCATAATGTGATTATCTCTTTTTTTTTGTACATGTTCGTTTTGAAAAACAAAATCTAAATAGTTTCGCGTTTAGATTAGTTGCCGTTCATCACGATATGAATCATATGTGTATTGCTGTTTCGTTTTAATAGTTCGACAAAACAAAAACAAGACGCCAATTCAATAGCTGCGCAAAGTAAAACAAAGTCTTAATATATTATGTTAATTTTTCCTTATCACGAAAATATCACGGATTAATGTGCGGATTTTTTTCTTAACAAAATACTCTTACGAAGAAGAATATTCATCTCGCGAGAAATTCTTGCAATAAATTTCGTTAGTAAATTTTTGAAATTATTTTACTAAGATTGAAATGTCAATTCGTTCAAGACCAATTCTACGCAAAGTTCCTCCTCATGAAACCGAATCGCATGTGACTATAGATACATCTACATTTTCAAGAGCTGCCTCAGTAAACACACCATTGCTGTTAGCTGACGATTATCAAGCACCAGCTACATCTCATGCACTCTATCCGAATTCCAAATGGCTCTTAGTACGTAATAATATGCATAAAATCCGAGGTTGGGGTGCAGTCAAACGTATATCAATGGTTGATCAACCTTTTCAAGATTGGTATCTTTTTTTTCAAATGCGACGTGAATTAAAACGAGCCGAAGAACAAATTCGTGCTATAGAATATCGGAAAGATTTTACACCTGTTCGTCATTTTCAGTTGCCTATTGATGCCACACATGTGCGACGCTACAATGTTTCACATGTTGGGCCCAACGACGGTATCTATTATGCTGGTCTTGGTACGGAGCCAATCGTTTTACAATATTTACTTTATTATTTTAGTAATGAATGCAGTGTGCCATACGATAGTATATTCTATACATTTTTATCGGATGTTAATGCAGTATTACATACAAATCGAGAACGTATTCATCGAGTTGTTGTCTTTCGGAAACTTGCATTGATTTTGGCCTTAGCCGTATTTGTGATTATTATTATTATGTTTTTTTCGTTGATATTAAGCGTTTTGACAACAACATCGAATTTAAGACAAATGTATAGAAATGATCTAGATGAAGACACGAAATGGTTAGGTTCGGAAGTATTGCCAAACGTAAATTCAATAAATAAACAGTAACACATTCTGTTTTATTCTTCTCAATTTTTCTGTTTTTCGCTCGAAAAAAGCGAATTAATTGAATGATGATATTATAAACGATAAATAGATTGATACTTTTATATTGCTAGCGATACGATGAAGTTTATAATTAGAAATAGGTGCTTTATTCCATCAGAAAACTTTCGAAATTTCATTGAAATGATATGATTCTACTAGGTACTGTCAATTGCTTTTCTTGTTTTTTTTTCTCTGATCTGAAAACGTGGGTGAAAAGAAGACCTTTGTTGACACCCACACCCTCAAGAGTTTGGTAGCATGCGCATATACCACTGAAGACCAATAGAAATCCCGTTTCTGATGAAGTTTTAGTGATTACAAGTTTCTGAAAAAGCGTCACAAGTTTTGTAAGAAAAACGTTGATGTATGCAATAAGCTAAAATACACCCAATGTAAAAATATGCATCGCTAAGAATTATAAAGACCAGCTTAAACTAAAATTTTTGAAATAAAATCGAACAGGGGATGCTTGCAAAGTTCAGATGAATCATATTTCTTGAAGAAAGTCTATGAACAGAAGCTCTTATGATCAGGGAGATCTACAAGCAAGTGTAAATCTAATCGAAAACACAGAGTCACCTTTGGGAGTGTACTCTGTCAACCAAATTCAAAATATGACGAACACAAATAGTTCATGTTGACGATGTCCTCGAATAGTCACAGCGGATGGATGTAAAATTTTACGAGTTGCAATTTCCTATACATTTTCAGAGTGATGTTCGATAGAATATAGTATGATGATCCGTGAGCTCGAATAACATGTTTTTTAAATAGGTTTCTGTTTGCCGAACGTGAATATAATCGGCATATTTATATGAGATATATCGGATTACTAATAAACGATTTTGATCGAAGACTACACCGTGGAAAATCGCAGTATTTTCTTCATTGAAAATTCCATGATGACTGATTTGATAGTGCAATAAATCTATATATTTGTCAAAATCCGCATATATTAAGACGAAATAATTTGAATTCCGATCTATAACTACTTGTCTGCTTTATAATCTCATATCCTTAATGTTGTGTCATCCATTTGCTGTTTTCAGTAGTCCTATTTTACTTTGAATATCGTAGAATGAGTCGATGCTTGAGTTTTTTGAGGGTGTGTGAGATCTTCCTACATAATATAAAGACATGCTTAGATTCCATCTCCGTGCGATGAAGTTTTACTCCACAAATTCATAGTTTATATTCATTCCAACAGTACCAAAACCAAAATACGCCAGCAGTAAAGATATCTATGCATCTCTATTGCAACGGGATATCTGCACTATATTCACAATTCTATATGTTGTTATAAGGTTCAAATTTACAAGTTATCCATTTTAATTTAAATGAGAAAACACGTTTTTTCTCTCAATCACAGATATAGCTATAAGTCGTCATGGTCAGTTTTCGGCAGTATGCTCCCTAAATGCCAAGCGTCAGTTGCACTGAATATGCGTTAACTAAGTTTAACATTATGTAAATCGACTTCACTAAAAAAAACTGTAACATCTACAAAATGGCAAGGTTCTATAAAAACAGATGTAGCTAGTAATTTATGAAAAATAACACTACATGAGAATAGGGGTGGACGATTTACACTAATTTAAAATTAAGTTCCAGATCACATCAATTAACAATAAATTACAAGTATGAAGTGTTTAGAAGAAAAAACACCTTAACCTTCATGTTAACTAGAACTACTTCATATGTCACATTAAGAAAAACGGTCCATCCCTATTCGAGAAAATTTAAAATAGTTAGGAATGGTTGGGAATGCCCGAATGAGCCCCACCCCCCCTGGATTTTAGACATATTGGCGATTATAAATATCGTGAACTAATTATATTTTTATCAATTCAGAAGAAATTAACGTATATTGAGAATTGTAAACACTGTCAGCTAAATGGCTAGATTAGCTCATTCTACTAAAATTAAATGGCATTTATCAATATGTTCAATGCTGACTTGTAACTTGTACTCAGGTTCACTTGAATACGAAGTAGAAATTTGAATTATTATATCAACAAACCTGAGTCAATATATCGGACCCTCAATTGTGCATCATTAGAATAACAGTTTCTTTTTATCAAAGAGCAGCGAAACGGCTTACATTATGCAATGTCATGAGCAAATAGAATAAAATGATGATTTGAATTTTTTCAGTACTATATCGATTTACAAGAAGAAAGTGCCATTTTTGAATTTTCTTTGCCTAGAAATATAGACCGATCTGTTTGCGAGCGTATTACCCACATCCACAATCTCAAATCACAAAAATATCAATAAGATTTCGGGCATCCTCACAATATTCAGTCTGCTGTCTTACGCCATACATTCATGATGTTGCTGTTATTGTGTCTGCATTCCGGCAGGACTCAACGCATTCGCTTTATATATATTTTTTGCTATCCAGTTTTAGTATGCTGGCCTGATTTAAACAAAAGTGAACCCAGAGAGCCAAGTCCATACATACCAGATGGCGTATGTATTGTTCATACTATAGTCAATATTACCATTAATATCTATATATGATCCCGATCATTATACTCTAGCCCAGAGAGAAAAGAGTAATCATATATTATTGACTCTACATCAGGAGATTTATTTATTTTCTATGATTAGCTGTTGCAACTTATAGGCGACGATGATTGCCATATGTTTCTTTCTTTTTTTTTTATAAATGGTAGAGTTTACCTACTTTTATTGCTTTTTTTATTTCACAACACATTCTCAAATGATTTCACGATAGTTTGGAGTTTGTAACCAATTTTTGCATTGATTTTTCCAAGAGAAATAGTCTATTAAGTACTGATGCAAGAATATTTTTCACATCCTTGATGCATATTTATGATGCTGCATGAGAACCTTCGCTCTCACATTCAATGAGTATGTCCGTGTTATTTAATCTTTGATCTCAATTTTGATACGTGAACTCGATCTCTTTGTTGGATTGATCTTGTGTTTAATCTCACGTATATTTATGTGAAGATTTTTAGAATCGAACAAGATAGTCGGTCAACAAAAATATTTCGATTTGATAGCGTAAACTCTGTTATTGATGCTTTTTGCCAACGAGTTTATTTCCTTGATGAGCATTGTTCAAGTCTTTCTACTAATGCTAAAATTAGACACAAATTATGATTTTAGGTTTTCATTCAGATTGTATCTTGTGAAGTTAATAACCGCTTTTTTTCTATTCATGGTTAAACCAATTTCTTCACATGAAAATGCAATTTCTTCTTTCCAATTACTTTTATCCACACCATCGTCTTTTCTCTTCCTTTAACTCGCACGCAAACATCCACAATGTTTGATCAATTATCAAATCTATGATTTTTCCTGAAAAATATACATGATTGATACTCAAATTATAGCTAAAGAGTTTATACAGTGCCTCTGGTAATACTGAATTCAGGTGGGACTAAACAATATCATTATTTTTTATTTATTGCCTGGATCTGTTGTTCTACAATAATATTATCCGTTACCGAGAGTGATACTTCAGCTGAAAGCCCTTTTCTGGTGAATATTAAGATAGGATATTTCAATCGAACCGTATGAAATCTTATCGATTCGACTTCCTGTGAAGTCAACAATATTATAAAGATCAATTCTTTCTTTCGGGAGGACTGCCAGTAAGGAACAAAAATGATAACCTCACTTTAGATTAATTTCTTACTCCAGTAAAAATATTTGTAGCCAATCGTCAACTGGGTATCAGCAATTATTACTGTGCCGAGATGACTGTAGGCCGTCTTTACTTTTCGGACACTGCTAGCTAAACAACACTTATTATTCACGTTATTGATCAGTGTGAAATGTTGTCAGCTTATATTTATCATGCAGTATCGATGTCAAAAATATATCAACAATCTTCTGTAGGAATGCTTTAGTTAGTCGTTGTCGTGCCTCCCATAGTAAACTTAAGTTCTAGTATAGAATACTCAAGTCCCCACCCTAATAAAAAAAATCCTTAATGGATTTCTAAATTCATTTAGGATTTTTTAAAAGAAATTAAATTGATAAATAGCATGCATTCATTAGATTCTTTGTGGCTTCTTGTAGAACTTAACATGTGAGTCAACTGATTAGAAATCAATAACTTTTATGTTAAGCAGATCGCCAGCGATTACGATCTCCGAAGTGTTCTTTTACATCAGTAACCTGAAGAATATGTGAACTATCATAATAATAGAAAATAGCAAGTGCTTTACTGATATGTTTGTGAGACGCTTTAAAGCAATTGTAGTATCCATCACATTGAATACCAGCAAATCGATTAGCATCTTCACATAAAAACTCAATAGCTCTGTCAAAATTATGTATATACTCAGAATTACACTTTTTTTTCCGCCATCTTTTGACTAACGAAGAGAAATTACAAGTTTTTAACTCAGGAAGATCATCTGCGTGCTCCCTACCTGAATTGGATGAAGGTTTATTTTCATTTTTCGATATCTTTTTTGACATTTACCTTTTCCAGCGTAACGATGCTGCCTATTTATACTATTGTCTTGCATCATTTGATGCAATACCGTGTCACTGCCAACAGGCGAATGCAAATATTAAGTGAGATTGTTGACAGTTCAATTTGCCTTGGCAAGCAAAAGAATGACTCATCAATCCTGCGAAGTCTTTTCAAATGAGAGAGCATGATAAGAACGAAACAGAAAGAAAACCAGAAAAAAAAACTATCATGCGTATTTAGGAAGTACATGGTAGAGTCCTGCGGGAACAACTTTTATTGTTCCCGTTTCCCGTCCCCGTTCCCGTAGAATAAAATTTTTGTTCCCGTTCCCGTAATGCATTTGTAACTTCTATAGCCATTTCATTGTGTTTGATTAAAATGCCTGTTTTTTGTACTCCATGCTGGATGACCGCGGCATCAGTCGTTTCACAATGTCTCATGAGATATATTTAGAATAACTTTACAATTGGATATTTGTCTGATGAATCACAGAGCTAGATTTCTCACTTACAGCCAATTTACTTTCTTTCGTTGAGCTTTTTATATACCAAATTTTAAACATGTCAATAATAAAGCCACCTAAATCAACTTTATCCAAGGTTGAAATTCAAGCATTAGTAACATTAAATGATCCATCAATCTCGTTTGCAAAGCCAGCAAATGTTAGAAGTGAAGTTTGGACAAACTATTCACAAGTTTATTATAAAAATGAAGGTCTTGATTATATAATATGTTCACAATGTAAAGTGGTGTTAAAATGGATAAGTGAAAATGGTACTAGAGTTATGAGTCATCATAATTGCACAAAGCAAAAATCTGCCTCAACTACCCCAGTACGACAACGAACAATTTCTTCGTATTGTCGGCAATCGTCTTTATCAAAAGAATGTCCTGTAATTCAAAAGCATATTACAGAAGCATGTGTAATTTAATGGCAAGTCAATAAACTTTTCTTTTTTAGATACATATTTGCATTTTTTCTGTTAATTACATGCCAAACGGCTAATGCAGATAAAAGAGTACTCTATAAATATGTATGTATTTCAACTCATATACGTAGATCTGATAAAAAAAACTTTCGGGAATGCCAATTTATAATGCTGTTCCCGTTTCCCGTGCTCCCGGGCAAAAGTCTTCACGGGAATTCCCGTTCCCGTTTCCCGCGGGAAACGGGACGGGAAAATACGGGGAAAAGTCGTTCCCGCAGGACTCTAGTACATGGAGAGATGACAACAATTATTATATTCGTCGGTGCATTAATGATTCATACAAAATGTACATCAGCAATTGTTTTTGTTGAACCAATATTATTTTACTTTGAGAACATAATTTTTAATCGTTACCAGCTAGCTCACAAAAAGTTACTATTCTACAGACAGAAATATAATGTGGAGAAGAGTTTGTGCAACTACTTTTTCATTTATCAGCTTCATTTTTCAATAGTATCACATGTCGTTGATATAAAAACCAATGATTCTTTATTTTGGGAAATAAAGCGTTCATCTGTCTTTTTTCTCATGAAATTGCTATAATATATTGAATACAAGAGTGAAACATATCTGATTGTTATACTCGCGCTACAAGATATCATAAGACACGAATAAAACCATACAGCTCATACATTTATATTCGAGGACTTTCGACGTGCGCAGATAGATTTCATCAAGTGCTACTGATAAGTTTATAAAAATCAGATTATGGTTGCCTCTAAGGATGTACCGAGACTGAAAATTTTCAATTTTCAATTTTCTGTAAAACAAATGCTTTATCGTGACAACAAAGTGCTTGGAAATTTCTTGAAGTAGTTGACATTGCAGAACAAAGATTTTTCTATAGAATCAAATGTTGGCAAACTCTGCGCAACGTGTCTTTCAATTTTGATTACAGTTCTACTAAAGGCACTAACAACACCGAGAGTCATGCCCTCGGCTCTTGGGCCTTACGTAAAACTGAAATAAAATTTGAAAGACACATCGTACAGACTTCACTGACGTCTCATTTCGTAGAAAAATGTTTTCTTTGCAAGAATCCACGTTGAAAAAAAAGTCGCACCATATTACACATACTCAGAATGTCCTCAATAAATAAATTGCAATCAAATATTGTACTTACTGCTGTAGCTGCTACTGATTTATTACGAGAAACTCCATTCAGCTAGTAGGGATGAAAAATCTTTGACAGCCGGTTATAAAAACTGAAATTCTGAATACTACAGAATCCTGACATTCTTTTCCCCCGTTGGCATTAGCACCCGATACTCGAAAGAAAAAACATATTCAATTGTATTCAAAAGCATTTTCCTCAAAATATTTAAGAACACGACTAAAATCGACTTCCGAGCACTTATGCATCAGAAAGTGGCTATACAAAAACTCATCAAGCATTGCAAAATACATGATATAGACTTCGTCTAAAGCTCATAGTTCGTCTACTGAAGTTGATGATTGAGTGTTTGGTACATGATTTATATAGATTATTTCCTAATGTCTAATTAATAGAGAATTTCAAGCCCACTACATATTTAACCGTCGGAAATTCATACTGAATCAGAAAAAACTTGATCATCAATTCGATTGAAGTCCGATTACACAAGCAACTATGTGTTAGTGCAAAATCACGGTTCGATATCATATCTACATATATCAGAGATTTTCAATAAAGAGGCGAATGTATACAAAAAAGAAAACAATGTTCTAACCTCTGAAAGACATCCGATATGAATTCTTTTAGTCCTGGCAACATAAAATTTCGATATTAAAATCATCAACGAAACATTTATTTATTAACATATACTTAGGATTCTATTAAACAAATATTTTCTGAATATCATCATAAAATTTATCTTCACTCATAATACGTCAAATCACGCTGCAGTAGAATCTAATGTCAATATTTTTTTTTAATAACGTTTTAGCTGATAATATCAAATCAAACATCAGATCAGATATGCATTATTTTCAAAATAAGTCTCTGTTTGAAATCGATCTTAATTCAACATTGTTTTTAAATAATCATCGCCACCGAATGGAATACCGAAAGGCACGGCAAACATAGGATGCGGTGTCTCTCACTTTTTGCAAACCTTTTTAAAAATCACATCGTAAAAATAAAAAATACGCAATTTCAACGCGCAAAACCTTTCTTGAAATACATTTTCTTTCTGGCGAAAATTCTTGAAAAGCTCGAAAACGTTTTTCTTTATTTCTCATTTATCTACAGACGTTTTGACTAATTGTTTACCATCATGTATTCAATCAAACACCCAATGGGTTTGTCAATATAATTGTATTAAAGTAACAAATGATCTTTTCTTTTCTTTTCTTTGTGCTTCTTTACAAATAAATTTCATCCACTCTTTTCAATTGACTGCTCACTGTCAATGCCATTCAATTGAGTGTAAAACACGAAAATTGAAAAAGAAAAGAATATCTATTGAAAAGGTCTTATACACAATCACAAATCTTTTTCTCTTAATAAATAGCCTTGGCGGCGCATACAATTTGTGTTAACTATTTCGTGAATAATATGTCTTTTTTCCTCCGATTCTTTCTTAATTACTTTCTCTTATCGTTTTTTTTTCTCATGCATAATAATGATTCGATACGCGAAATATTTATTTGCTTGATATGTACAACATAGGATACGATGCCTACCTTGAATATATTGACGCGCCTCGTTATAGTATCTAATAATATGTAGGTTTCAACTTTTTCTTTGCCAAAATATTCATATCTATAAATATTTCGATTTATTAGCATCTATTGCTAAATGCGATTATCAACGTTTAAAATCCATCGATAAGCCGATCGCCTAAAGCATCTACGACATTTTCATTAATGATTGATTAGTTTTGATAGCAAGTCGAATATAGTTTTATCTTTAAGTGTGCGATCGATTGACTCGTACCGTAACGCGATTTCATCGGATCAGTTTAGTGTTATTTAAAATATTTGAAAAATAACACAATTCACAATGTCAGCAAAAAACGCTGGCTAGTAAGAAATCGTCCTTCTCGTTTCTGTGTGACAACTAGGTATAGTTCAATAATAATCTTCAAACATATTATAATCCCGTGTATACTATTTTAATTTTATTGCAAGCAAAGACATTACATACGTGTATATTGACCTTTGCAAATTTAGGTGAATGGCGCAATCTCGTCGTTCGCGTCTTGTGCGCATGCCAAAACAAGAAGAAGAAATTCACGTAATCAGCAATCCATTAGATATGGATGAACCGTCGTTGCCGATGCTTCCACTAACTCGCCTTCAAAAGCAACGAGAAGTATTAACAACGGATGATTATCAAGCGCCGCTTACATCATTTTCTCTCCAGCCTCATTCTCGATGGTTAATCGTTCGACGCAATTTACATCGTATTCGTTTTATGGGCTTTAATAGTCGTGGACGACAAAGTCAACTACCGGATTTTTACTTAGGTTTTCAAATGACGCGCGAACTGAAACGTGCACAAGATGAAATTAAAAATGTTGATAAACAAAAAGATTTTTATGCTATTAAACAATTTACTTTAGCTGGCGAGCTTGGAACCAAGAAAGTATTTAATACAGGTCATGTCACACCTGACGATGCGCTGATTTATGATCGACTTGGCGAAGAACCATTAGCATTGCAAAATCTACTTTTTTATTTTAGTAAACAAGAAGTTGAATATGGAACAGTTTTTTGGGACTTTCTATCTGAAGTTAATCATGCCTTAAATTTAAAACGTAAACGATCTGCTCTCGTGCAACGATTAAGACGAGTAGCATTGTGGTTGGCTATTATTCTCTATGTTTGTATCGGACTTATGTTTTGTTTAATGATTATTAGTGTAATAACCACAGCAACGAAATTAAATGATCCGGAAGTTGAATGGACCAATGAAAGTCGTGAAAGATATGCTGTTAATGTCTTAGCATTTAGATGAATATGTAGTATCTTTATTTTTGGTATTTTTTTTTATGGGATATTTCAATAAAGATTAATAATTTGTAAGATTTATGGTTGCATTAAGATTTTCAAGAAACAAGAGCGAATAAATTAAGTTTAGCTTATGGATGATAGTCTTCAGATGTCACATTGGCGTTCTGATGCTTTTTTTTATTGAAAATTTCGTGTGTAAACGTGTAATTTAAATGCTTATTCATGCAATAATGTGCAAGAAGGCAAACTCAATTAGTAACATTGGTTGTAAATATGATAATTGATTTCTTTTCAGTATGTTTACAGCATTTTGTAGAAAATAAAATTGCAAGTTATGATATCTATTCGAAAGATTTTTCGTTTGCCATATGAAAGGAGCTTATTTTAAGTATGATAAATAGATCGAGATCAGCAATAATGTATTCAAGACATTCAAATATGCTTTGTAAATAGTGCGATAATATCATGATAAGAATATTGAATATATAAAATGAATCGAAAATGTTACATATTCTACTACTTGTTTTTTTTTCATCAAAATAATACTTAGGTATTTTTTTCTTTAACATGTCTGCCCGTTGTACTAGCTCACAATGTGTCAGATTATTTAGTCTTTTTAGCCCAGTAATAAATTATACTAACAACCAAAATATGCAGCACGAAAAGCTCTACAATTTCCATAAGACCACTTATTTTCTAGTAGCACTTTTTCTTTTCAAGATGGGCAAGGTTTTGAGTGATCGAACTTTGGTCGTTGTAAAAACTGATCGTATAGAATTTTCCTTTCTTTCAAAACAACTTCAATAAACTTTACTATGTACATTGTAGAGCTTTTCACGCTGCATCTTCTGGTGTATTTTGCTTTTCTTTCAATAGAACATATTAGATGATAAAATGATCAACAACAAAAAACGAATTCGTCGTGTATCAAAAACATTATCTTTTCTCGTGGTTGAAATTTGGTCGCTGAAAATTTAGTCTAATTTAAGAGCAAAATGTGCAACTAGATAATAAAAGGTTTTATGAAAATTGTAGAGCTTTTCACCCTGCATGTTATGACATGTTTTGGTTGCTAATACAACTAACAAGGAAATGAAAACTGCGATGTACAACTACAACCCGGAACCATGTAAACGAAAAAAGTCTTATGAAAAATTTATAATCGTCATATTAGTTAAAGTGCCATCAAATAGCAGAGAAAAATAGACCTTTCTTTTCTCTATCAGATGGGAGCGAAAAACGTTCCTCAGAACTTCCTATAAGAAATTGATATACCTCCGCAGCTACTTTTGGACTGACCTAAGTATTTATTCGAATAGATACGTAATAAGCACAGACAAACATTGATTATTATTATTCTGCAAAGAAAAACGAATTTTTGTTTTTCTTTGTCCCATGTAATGAAAATAAACGTGATACGATAAATAGAAACAAAATGTTTTTTATTCTTTAATAATTTTTGGTACATAAATAGCCAGATCAGGGTGACCAGTTGGTGGCGACGATAAAAGTTCATTGTTTCCTTTATTATCCATGTTATTATTTTCTAAGATTTCTTCAATGCGTGAATCTAAACTTCCTTGCCGAATTATTGGTAATGTTGATGGAGTTAGAGACAATGAGCATTTTTGTTGATCACTATTCACTAAATAGCCATCCATACTCATTTGTTTACTCATTGCTGGTTCACCAGAATAATGTTTTGTCCGACGTCGTGTTGATATTGGTAAAAGAGAATTTTTTAATCCGCGTTGACTTAATTCGTGTGTCATCGCATATATATGATTTGTGTTCAATGGTAATATGGCAGCAAAACTTCCATTTATTAAACGTGGACTATTCGGTGTATTTGATAAAACAAGTGACATACGAAAATCATCATTGAGATTTTTTATTGTATTACGTCGTTCTTGTGGTGATAGATTATCTAATGGACGTAGGACTTTACTGGCTGCTGCTTGAATTATTTTCCAATCACGATTTATATCATTTGCATTTGTTGATGTTGCTGTAACCGTAAAACGTATGATGTATTTTCCTTTGATCGATGCTGGTACACAATGAATTTGTCCGCCGCTATTTATTTCTTTTAATAATTGTTCAGTTAATTCGTTTTCACCTTTTAATCGAAAAACAACTAAGCCAAGATGTCGCTCAGCTGGTAATTCAAAGCGATCGTCTCTTCTGACCAACGATTCAAATAATGTGCCCATTCGAACACTCTTCAAGAAACAAATTTAAATGTTTACTGTAACAACAATAAAATAGACAGAATGATATCTTACATTTCGAATATGTTTTTGTAAACCTTCAACACCAAATGAACGAATAACAAACCAAAGTTTCAATGAACGAAATCGACGACTCAATGGAACTTGCCAGTGCTAGAAAAATATCAAAGACTATGTGAATGATGTTTTTCATGGTAGGATTTGTTTTTAAATCCAATTGCTCTGAAGACATGACCCTTCAAAAAGGGACTCTTCTTAAAAAAAACAGGTTAGGTAAGTTACAAAGGAAGAGACTCTCTCTATTTTTGTTTCAATTAATTTAGTCTAGCGATTGTCTCGAAAACACATGAGAGATGAATTTTATTTTTGAACTATTACTAAGATAACTTCTATTCATTATAGATTACTGATATACATTGTCTAATAATATATCCGCAACAGCTTGTGATGAACCGTTGTCAACATATTTCACAGGGATTTAAATAGATCTTCTCTCTACTTCAATTTTCAAAGCAAAAACTATTGATCAATAGACATTACCATATAGTCAATGGCTACGCCCGCATTTTCATGTTGAAGATATAGTGGATCAACATTAAATGCTCGATGAAGTGCAGCACTTGATTTTACCCTAAAAACACACTAGATATGCAAAAATACTTGATTCAACTTTTATCGTACCACATTGCCGTACAATCAAAATGTACCTAAAAAACGCATAAAATAAATTCAATGGAACAAACTGAAACCAAAACCTAACCATCATCCATTTCGATGGATTAAATGCAAACGATTGAGTAAATTCTACTCCATTCATAAGCTGCCGAAATTCCGGACAAATAAAAGCACTTCCAGCATAAGCTGCATCAACATGTATCCAAATATGTTCTCGTTCACCTATTCAAACTTATCATTCATAGCGATTCATACATATTTCTCATAAGAAACAAACTTACATACTGGACCAAGTTCAACAAGATTATCAAATGCACAAGCTCCAGTAGTACCGAGTGTTGCACAAAGCTAAAAACAAATCGAAATTTAATTCTTGAAAAACATTTATTTGGTTATTTTTGTTTTTGTATTTACATAAAATGGTATAAGACCATTTTCTTTATCATTGGCAATCGCTTGTCGTAAGGCATTGCCACGTAGACGTAGTTTATCGTCACTTGGCACAAGATGAAGTTTAACCAAACCGATAAGACACGCTTTCTCGACAGACGAATGAGCCTGATCAGAACAATAAGCAATAAGACGTCCATTGATTTCCGCTGGACTTAAATAAGGAAATTGACTTTGAATACGGCGAATAACTTCTTTTCGAGCAGCAAGCAATGCTACGAGTGTTGCCTCGGACGCTGTTGTCTAGAACAATATCGATGATATAAACCTACAGAAATAAACTATCTTTGACTTACTTGTATCACACCACCGCCCGTCGTATCGGCTTGCGAATGAAGAAAATCATTTGGTAATCCAATCATTTTCGCTAACCAATCCATTACAACTGTTTCTAATTCAGTACATGCTGGACTTGATGCCTATTTTATTCATGAAAAACTCAGAAATTTATCATAGAATGATTAAAAACGCATTTTTTTGTTGTGCATGTAATCTATTGTTGAATAGAAATCTCAATGTAATGTACAATTCGTGGTTATAATTACCTATGGAATCTACTAAATAGATGCTAAATAAAATGCTTGTTTTTTAAAGTTACTCCACTAAACTAAAAAATATTTTCTAGCATCGCCTGTCGTTCCCATGGAAAGCGAGCCGACTGTATCTCTGATTGAATCGCATATTATTTAAAATACACTCGCATGAGATGTCATCATAATCATTTTCAACTAAAAAAAACTTTTTCCCCGTCGTTCAACTCCGGTTTTATTTACAAGATAGCCTTAAGAGAATCGCGATTTCATAATAAGACGAAAAAATTCGATATTCTCGTAATCGCCCTGTTGATAGATTAAAAACGATTGCTCTATCTCACATACATACCCATGTAAATCCTATTTGATTAAGGCCATTGGCTAGCATATCCTAAATATAAAATTTAAAAAAACAAACATTGTAAATAGTTACGATCTATCATACTCCAAGTAAAGATGGATAGGAATTCAATGCTGGAAAATACGCATGCATATAAGGCGATTCCCAATGTGTAATCTATAGTGAAAAGAATGAAATATTTCGGGGAAACAAAAAAACAACTTTCTACAATACATACACCAGGCATAATAACTCGGTCGATATCATTGAAAATATTCTCCCATGGTTCGCCTTGTTTTGGTGCTTCGTCAGCAATCATAGGACGCATATAACCCGGTTTAACATTTGGGAAAACACGTCGCGATCGAATATTTGTTAAGTAATCAGCAATAAAATCAATAACTTCTTTACCCCGCTGTCGAAATTCATCAGCATCCATGATTAATTTTATGTCTAATTGCCAATATAAACTGTAAAAAAAAACAGATAGTAAACGCGTCAATCAATTTTCTATGTATATAAAGATTTCTCTTGACTTCTTTTATTAACAAGAATCGAGTACGTTGCAATCTGAGGCCTTTTCTTCTTCTTCTTCTTTCATTTTAATGAAGTCAACTTTAATCGCACGCTAAATATGCAGTACATGTATTGTGTGGTTCAATCATGATTAGATTTTTCTAATCAAATATTCGCCTGAGAACTTTATCTTTATTTTTCAAAGTCAATATGTCGAAGGACAATTACCCAAGAGGTTTCTTCTTAATTAGGATTGTTTGAATACACGTGTAGGCGAACACCAAATTGTTAATAATCTCTGTAGATTTGATGGAGTTTGTTTTGAATATGATATAGTTAATTTATAAGAACTGAACGAAGAGATAAAAGAAGAAGAGAAGAAAAAGAAATTTTATGATTGACTAGAAAATTAATTTCATAGAAGAATATTTATAAGATAAAGGATTACTTACTAAACTTCAATTAGCGATCTATGGCATTGACATGGAAGCAGATGTGCAAACTTTATATTTGGAACGTAGTATTTTTCTTTTCTTATTAATATTGATTTACGCACTTTGCGAGAAAGAATGATCTCATGACATGATGCTTTTTAAGCACAGAATTTATTAGATTTGAAAGTACAGACCTAACTTTTTTTTTATCTAACCCGACTGTTTCTATTCATAAGACATTTTTTGTTCTCGTTCAAGAATTCTATCGAATAGCATTTTGTAAAGCTGAGGCGTGCGAAGAGAGCTTGTGTTATAACAAGTGCTGACACAGTTGATTAATTTTGATGTTTCCGGTTCGTATGCCATTCTCTCAACATGCAAAGTATGAATGAATTTCTTTTCTCTTCATTTCTACTGTTTGTCAATTGATATAATCTATTCATCTCAATGATAACAATAATACAAATAAATAAACAGAAAATTTTCTGGTTAAGAATAACAAGAGTTATTGAGTTTTATATTGAATCTTCCATATACCAAATAAATATCGCATCCAAATAGCTAATATATCAATACCCATCTGAAATGAAGCCGTGAATGGGTCCAATTTTGAACCTGGGATTTCTTGCCAATTTACGTCGACTTCAAAAATTGGAATATTTAATTTTTCTGCGATATACAAAAGTTCAACATCGAATGCCCTGAAAATAATAATTGTATTAAAAACAATCAAAGCTAGCGAACTACTCCTATTTACCATCGTTCGACATGCATTTGTGAAAAAATCTTTCTTGCACTTTCACGTGAAAATAATTTAAAGCCACATTGAGTATCACGAATAGATTTGACTGCAAATAGCCAGACTTCGAAATGAAAGGCATACATGAGTAATGTACGAAATGCTGATCTCTGAAAATAAGAAAAATTCTATTTTTAATCGGTAAAAAATTGATTTACTTTTGCAACGGATTCTGTTTCTAAATGACGTCTTGAACCACAAATAGCAACTTCGTTATTCTAAAACGAGAAACGTAGGAAAATGAAGTGACGAAAGCATTTTATTTTACTTTCATTGTTTCCAACGCTCGCTTTTCAAGTTTAGTTAAATCACTGAATTGTGTTGCTCCATCGGCATCTGCAAATAAAATCCATTGGCCTCGAGCGCTGAGTACACCCTGATGGATAAAAACAAAAACGTGTACTGTTTGTATTTATGAACGAACACCTTACCTCACCATTCGTACAGCACCACCTTTGCCGCGATTAGCGTCGAGAGTTAACACTCGGACGATGTCGGTTCCATAGTGAGCACTGTATTTGAGCGAAATCTTGAAGAAAAATTAAGGAAAAATAGGAGTTAAATTCAGCGAAAAATGTAATTACTTCAGTAGTTTTATCAGGACTTCCATCGTCAACTATAATTAATTCGTATGTAAATGATGGATCATTTGCCTGAAAAAATAAGAAGATTTTCAATCGAAATGGCTCAATCGTGATTCGAAAGATAAATCTTGTAGACGAGTCATTTTTTCCCACTATGCTTTACTAAAATCAGCGTTTATTCATTTAGAATCGAAACGCATAGTACAATCAAAGTTTGACTTCTCTTAATTTTCATTGGGATCATGTTTGACGCCGAATGCCTATGTCTCTTATTGTAAATTATTATCATAGGATTGCATACATACTTGACGTTTCTCTAAATAGTCCATTGTATCTTTTATCATAGCAGGCACTGGAAAAGAAAAACAAATAGAGAATACGAATTGATAGACTTTCAGTCAATTTACATCGATCGACTTCTTTATACGCTGGAATGATAACCGAAAGATATTTCGAAGGTGAATCGTTGATAGATGGAAATAATTTTCGAGATTTTGTTTTTGGATCTTGAAAGTATTTCTCATTTTCACTTCGAGCTGCCATATTAAATGAACGTAAAAGACAAATCACCTAGCAAAATAAAACACTTCTGTTTTTGGAATTATTTTCCATGAGCTGACTTACACCTAGGACCATAAGTCCAACAATTTTAAGAGTAATAGCAGCTAAAATCAATTGTTCAATCATCTGAAAAACCAAAAAAAACAACGTTTTTGTATTCTTTTTTTTTTCTTCTTAGTTTTTGTTTAGTCAAATAAACTCTGATCTGGATCTGCTTGAACAAAAACATTTTCAAATCGATACAGATCATCATTATTAGTAGTAGTATTCCAGCAATTAGCGGAACACGTGTAAACAAAAACAGCGCCAAATTCAAGGCCTAGAAAACATAAAACAGATTAAAATGCTTCTGTTAAAAAGTTTTCAAACCGATTTGATTATCTATTTTGAGGAAATTAACAAGCGCTGGCATCAGTTGAAATTCAAAAACACACGACGATTGACAGTGACGACATTTTTGAGTTGTTGATAATGTATTGGCATTGAGCTTGGTTAAAATCAATGGATTACCAGACCAATCATATCTTGAAAAGAATAATAGAATTTTCAGAAATAGTTTTCGGCTGAAATGAGATAAGAGAGAGGAGTGACTTTCGGATGCTCGAAATTCCTTGAACAGGAGAACAAACAATTGAGACTTACAGAAAAAAATAATGTCTATTATGAGGAGGTCGGAACTACAAAAATCTCATGTTTAAACTTACGTTCACAATTTTTTTCGAAAATATATGTGAGTTCTACAAAATCCTGAGAGCTACTTCATGTATGATGGCTGCTATCGCTCTTACTTAACAAGAGGATTTTTATAATAATTTCTTTTAAAATTTCTTATCCTACCGGATGATTTGATCAGGTGCATATCTAATTTTTTGTTGAAATCGATAAAAAACGACATCACCATGTTCGATATCAGGTGTTTTTTCATATTTTCTAGATAACGAATTTTTGCTATTTTTTTAAATATTACATACAAGAACGCTTACTCTTTTCCACCTTTCGTTGAATCATCATCTTCGTCCTCGTCGATAGCGTTCAATTGTCTTACCTTCTTTTTTAATGTCTTTTTTTCATTTAATTTAGCTTCATCAATAACATCTTGTTCGTCATCAATAACAATATAATAAAATGGAAACGATGCAGTATGGGACGTATCTAATGTTTGCGTTTTTAGATTCGTTTTTTTCCATTCATTAAAAGCATCAATTGATGCAACCGGTACAGGCTTATCTTTAGATTTTGTTTTTGCATCAATATCTATTTCATCTTCCTCATCACTCGATGATTTTTCATTTTCGTCTTCGATTGTCATCGTACTCAATGGTACTTCTGGTTCTATTTTTATTTCTTTTTTAACCTCTGCAACAACCGGGATTGGCTTTTTCTCAATTTTAACACCATCATCATTATCATCACTATTCCATGCATCAGCATCATCACACCAATCAGTTGCTGCTACCGGTACCATAGCTGGTGGTGCATCATCAATTTGGTTTGATTCTTCAACTGTTTCATCGAACTTTTGACAACGTATTGCAGTCCAACTAAAATACGATTACTATCCAAAAACCAATTTCCGTGGACAAAATCCTATAGACAAACCTAGCTGATGTATTCCAACAAGATGGATTTCGACATGCAAACAAATACAGAGTACGATCATATTTATGACCTTCCAACGGACAATAGACTTGACAAATAAATATCTGTTCGGCTTGACATTTTGCACATAGAAGGCAAGATTTCAATTTTATTGAGACTTCTTCACTGGGATAGGCCTATATGGGATGTATCCTTTGGAAACAATAAATCGTTTTTATCATAAAAACTTACAGGTTGTCCGCCGATTCTTGAAATAGTCCAATTGGATGGATCGTCATCATAAGCTGTTTTTCCTCCTTTAGGTTCATCGATGAAACCTATTAGAACCATCTTAAATAGAAACATAACAACTACTGTAGGCAATCATTATGTCTTGTTTTGTTTTTGTTCGTTTAAAAAATATTATATTCGCACACACACACATAGTAATAATAGATGTATGAATACACTCAATCGAATCTTACTGTTATCTTTCTTTTACAAATCAGTCTAAGTACAATTACACACACACAGTGAGAGAGAGAGAAACGAATGCAATCACGATAAACAAACAAGGACGGAAAGAACAAAAATAATCATTTTTTCACTCGGCCGAATAGATCGTATTATAGATTAATATGAACCAAACAGTGAACTGGTCGAGCAAACTCCACATACTCCCTGTAAGAGAGATAAAAGATTTTTTAATTCAAATAAAACAAGCTTATATTCTTACTGGATTTGCTTCAATACATTTTGTATGAAAGACATGCAGACAAAAGAAGACAGAAATTGGAGGATTGAATTGAATATCTTAAATAAGCTTAATCGTACTAGATAGTTCGTTTCAAAATGAAAACTTACCAGAACTGTATATAGGACTATGGCATTTAGCACAAACATCAGTATCTAGTGAAAAGATAATAAAACCATAAAAATGCAATTAAACGAAAACTCAACTATACCTGTAACTAGATAGCCGCTTTGAAGTAACGTTACTGTCTTTTTTCTTAATGCCAAACAATCGTGCACGATTATTTTTCGGCAACATTCTGATAGAGACATCTAAGAAATGAATAAATAAGAGCGATTGAATGTTTCAATGACAAAATTTGAACTCCGTTCCATCGTATGCAAGATCCGAGTAGTGAGGCTGAGTCATTGGCCAAAACCATCGAGCAAGGGGACTAAAACTATTTCCTTACAAGATTTATTTGTTGCTGAGGAACTGACCACCCTTCTCGAGTAACTCCGAACAGTCATAGTTATTCCTGTCAACACATTCAATTATATTCTCTATGTATTCAATTCAAAAGCTTTCCTTAAATGCCGCACTATCATCGCATGAGTGAATGATTCTTATTGATGGATATATTTTATGAAGCGCTCCATATTGCCAATTGTAAACTACCTGAATATTAAAATCTTGCATGATTTTGCATAATGAATCACGTAAACCAGGTATTCGTAAATCGGTTCCAATTGAATCGATTAATTTCTGTAAATTGATATCACTGCCAGCATGATTCAATAGACCTCTGATAAATTCTGTAACCAAAACAGAAAAGAAAATAAATTTTCTGTTTCAAATTATTAGCTTTTTCTAATATTCACCTGGCTTGCCAACGGATTGCTCAATTAGTCGCGTCCATAATTGTTCACTACCTGTTTCGCGACAAAATTTAATTGCTTCTTCAATATCATGTAATTGTTCAAGAATAATTTGTAATGCAACAGGTCCATTTCCTGCTCGGCCTAGAATTTCACTGTTATGAGTAAAAAAACGAAAGAAGACATAAACAAACAAACTCTTCATACCATAAAGAAAAACAGTTTCACGATAAAGATTCTTTATTTCACATGTTGCTAATGCTTCTTGTAAATTATAATTTCCAGCTTTACGTAAAAATCCTAGGAGTTTCTCGGGTTCATAATCAGCATAGAGTGATACTTGAGCTGTGTGAAAATCACGTGAATCATTAGGATTTTTCGAAAATACACCATCAAGATACTAGACAAAGACAAAGAATTTGAAAAAATGAAAAGATTTCTCGAAAATTTTTCATCTATACGAACAGCATGAAGGTTGCGGGGACTCTTCTGTAACACATTATAAACTGAGCGGACCTAAATTTTCAATGGAATACATGAATATGCATTTTTTAATTTATATAAATTTGACGGAATTCGAATTTCGACCGTCATAAACATACTTACAGGTAGTTTATCCATATGATTAATCAACATATCCAATGTCGTCTAAAAACAAAACAAAAAATCGAAATTTCAATATGTATGTCAGATTGAAGTAACTAGCGGATGATCGTTGTTTTAGGAATTTGACATTAAAATCTGTTGATATATAGTTCTACATTAAAAATGAGATCTATTCATGATGAATTATCGTTTGTTTTCAGAGTTCACTGCTCAACCTTGAAGAACTTATTCATACCGTTTTCATGTGTGTCTTAGAGAGATTGCAACATGTTTAATTGAAATTCTAACACTACCATAAGAATTGAAGAATGCTAAAACATCGAAGTGAGAATTCGTCTTTTACCCTCGAAATATACTTGTTCGATTAAGGATAGACTCTCTTTTAGCTGAAGTGTTCTGAAGGTTTTTGGGTAAAAATAAAATCATTCGACACTTCTGAGTACGCATCATTTCGATATTTTGCATTCAGAAAAATTAATATATTCATCTAAAACTTAAGATTATCAAACAAACTTTTCGATTAATTGACATCAATTTTTCAATATATGGAAGAATTTCAGCATGGAGATTTTTCCTTTCGATCAATTGAAATGCTTGAGCATTGCCCATTCTAAAAATACTCGCAAGACAGTTAATTATTCATAGAAATCAAATTTCTACTACTATACTTTAGATAAATATCTAGCGTTTTCGATACATTGCCTTGTTTCTCCGCACTATACAAAAAAACAATAAAACTTATGAACGAAAATGACAATATGCATATTTTTTTCGTACATAACTGCTGAACATTCAAGTAATGCTTTCGCTGTACGTTCATCGTCCATTTGTAAACGAATTAATTGATCAATTGAAGTTAAATTGTAAATATTCAATGGCCATTGAATTAGTAATTCTTTTAATTCCTGTGTTAAAATAATCATTTTTAATTCAATTTTTCACTTGCTTATAAGCTTACTTCAAATTTTTTCTGCATTAAATATGTACTAAGTACTTTTTCATAAATAGCTGCATCAAGTTGCGGCTTACTCGTTGGGATTTTGGATACAATTATCTAAATGAAATGCTTCTATTTCTTCTTGTTGCATTACCATTTCTACTTACATCAAGTTCATTTCGTTGAATAAATGTAAGTATTTGTTCTTCCCATTCTTTCGATGTTGTATAAACACGAGGAAACAATTCGACCGCTTTTTCTTTTTGATTAGCCTCCATTAAAGATTTTACATATGCTAGATAGATGGTCTTGAGAAGAAGCAAAACAAACATTTAATTCGATAAACTTCCTGTTGGATTTTCGTAGCTTTACCTGAGGATTGTATCGCTTTGGTTTTTCATTTGGACTCGGAGGATTTTCAAAAGCTTTTATTGCATCCTCAAATCTTTTCTTGTTAATTAAATATTCAATATGATCATCGTAATCTCGACGTTCGGCTTTAACAATATCGTAGGGACTTAGAATAAAAAAGCATTGTTCATCTGGTAAATATTCTATTTTATAAGCAAACAATAATTTAAATACGAAAGAAAAGTAGTCGAAGAAAATTTTACCAATTTGAAATTGGAATGGCGACGTTAGCTCATCATTGTGCATCCGAAATGGATCATGAGCTTTCTCTTCATATACTTTGCCTTTCGATACTAATACGGTTAACGATGGGTCAGATGTACCAGCCTAAATAAGTAATTCAATATAAATATAGATATAGATACCGAGGCAAAAAAAGAATCGCTACAGCAATACTAAAATCTTCGATACCAAATACAACTAAATCACGATTGACAGATGTTAAACCACATGCGTAAAATTCAATTTTGAATGACATAGCTAAAAGAAAAGAGCAGGAAATAAAAAAAATGAGCTGAAGAGTGTACTTAGGATTTTTCTATGCATATTAGAGATGTGCGGGGTCGTGGTCTTTTTGGTCCCGGTGATCATAGGTTTTCTACCGTCTGCCTCTACTTCGAGAAAAATTCAATTCTCGTATTTTGAGTTTTTTTTACTTCATCTGTACTCTGGAAATCGCGCTTTCTTTCTAAGTAATTATCCTACTTGTATTTAGATGTTTTCTTGGCGCATTTGCTTGATGTTCACTACCGGCTTCAGTTGTAATCGATATTATTTTAATAGCTTTAGCACATGCTATTGCTAATGTTGTTGGGTCATTCCATGATATACGACTTGGATAAACGCCACGAGGAAGTCTTAAATAAAATTATTTGCTATTTACTTTTCTTGACGAGAAGAATAAATAGATTATACTCTTTTTGACCCTCAGTTTCCTCGAATCCAATTAATCGTCTTGCACGTAAATCGTAAATGCCAACGCCCTACGATTTTAAAAAATATGGTCAAACAATCAATTACTGAATATAATCCAAAAATACTTTGTCATTAGCAAATGCAATTAATGTTTCCTTCCAACGAAGTGTATGAATAAGCCCACCATTAAATTCGAATAATGGTGTTCTTTTATGTCCATAGAGAGTACCTCTTTCATTTAAAATAAGCTATTACAAAGAAAACTATAATCGGTTTTTAATTCATAGATACGCTAACTTACAGATGTGTCACCAGTGACAAACATTTTTGTTTTAGCAAAATTCGGATCAAGACAGACAGCTCTGATTGGACGATTAAATGTGATTAGTTGATCATCAGTTCTATTCAATAAACCAGAGATTTTAACCTAGATGAAAATCATTTTCCAGTTATTACAAAAATCTATTACTAAGTTTTCACTTTTCCTTCTTGACAACAACTACCAATGAATTCTCCATTGTCGTCAATTGATATTGCATTTACTGGATAAGTGTGCTAGAGAAATAGAAAATAAAGCAAATGAAATATAGTTTATGAATTGATTCTTTTGTTTTCAATCAAAATTGATCGTTTGACTCTAATCAAATAAAATGATTACCGCTTTAATTTGAAATTGCGATATAATATTTCCGAGATGGTCCGTAATTATAATTTCACCTGTAGGCTTGCCAATAACAAGAAATTTTTCATGCACAGCGATACAGCTGAATTCTGCCGGTATATTTTTACTGTTTTCATTATTTTTTCGAACTCCGGGTCCGATTGTTATTGTGGAAAATTTAAATACAGGTTCGTCCTCATCTTCTTCTTGTTCGTCGTCATGTTCTTCCGTTCCACCTACATTATTATTCGTATCGGGAGACATTATTTATCTGTATTCAACTAAATAAAAAAGTTGAATTTATTATTCATTCAATCTCGAAAAATTATTTACGACTACAACGTCAGATGGATATTTTTTCATTTGTTGCCTCGATTAAGCCAATAGTAATACACGAAAAGCCACATCTATCGAGGCAGATTCCTTTATCCAATCATTTTCAATGACTATAAACGATTCTTTTTCTTTTCTTATATTAAATATAACTTCGATCACATAGAGCACTAAGAAGCTTACGCAACTATACTCAAACATGGAAGAGTCGACACAGCAGATACGGATCGATGGCATGACATGTCAAAGTTGTGTGAGAAATATTGAAAATACAATAAATAAATTAAATGGAATTCAATCAATTAAAGTAATAATAGAAAGAAAAATATTTTTCTTTATTAATAACTTCATCATTTTCTAGGTTTCACTTGAGGAAAAAATAGGAACCATTGTCTACAATACAAATACCATCCATATAAATGATATTATTGAACGTATCAATGATATGGGTTTCGATGCCGAGCTTAACCAAACAACAAAAAATGATGATCTTGATATTGAGCTTGGAGGAATATCTGATGAAAACATTCCTGTTGCTACGCAACGTATATTATCAATAACCGGAGTCTTAAATGTTAATTTTCCTTTAAAAAATGATAGTAGCCGTGTACAAATATCGTATGACAAAAATCAAATCGATCCCTATTCACTATATCAAAAAATACAATCAATTGGATACAAAGTAAATCCAAAATTAGAGAATATCTCTCAAGCTTATCTACGTATACAAGGCATGCATTGTAATTCATGTGTCATGAATATTACACAGACTATAGAAGATCTACCCGGTATACACAGTATAAAAGTATCGTTTGATGATGAATCAGCGAATGTTTTATTTGATTCTAATATAATTAAATTATCGAATATTATCAAAGAAATTGAAAAATTAGATTTTCAAGTTGCCATGTCAACCAAGAACGATGAAGACAAAAATAAAGGTATTGAAATAAAAATATATTTAGAGAGGAAATTATGTTTTTGCTTTTAGATCATATGGATAGCTCAAACACACCACTATTGCCAGGTTAGATATAAAAAAATCGCTGTAACGTAGAATAATGTTCTGTTTAGGTATATATTGTAAGTAACGAAATGGAAATATTGAAGTTATGTGACATGAGAAACCTAACTAATCTTGGATTAGTGCAAAAGAAAAGAGCAACGAGTAATTTCAATCATTTTTTTTATCAAAAGCTAGATGAAATTTAACATCGTGTAGATTTGTGACAAGACAAAACAAAATATATTTTTTCTTCTGTCACAATTAACGTTGATTTCATCTATATAGACTGAAATTAATTAATATTAGTCCTCTATCATATGATGAGTGTCTCGACATATCGTTAAATCCGAGTTTAATGATAGACAAACACATGAATAATTCTTTTCATGCATTATTAATGATCTCTTGCTGTTCAAACATCTATTGTACAAAAGAAAATTTATCACATCGATCGTATGTAATTGAGGGCAAATTTCCGTAAACAACTAACGAAAACAAGCATTGAATATAAAGCATAGGAAGAAAATAACTAACGCATATTGACTCACCAAAGAAAGGAACTAAGTAAAGTTAAACTATTATATCGTACGTAGAAAAATGTAAATATTTGCATTATGACGACATCCATGTTTTGTACTATTTTAAAATGTGATGTGCCACTAGAAAATTATCTAATTAAAATCTATTGAAAATTTTTGAGATAAGAAATTTTTATCTTAATTAGTCATTTTTGTTTCTCGATTGATAACGAATTATTTATTAAGTAATAGAAGATAAGTAAACAAATTTTAATATTTTAGCTGAAAATACTCGTCAATCAAGTCCATCGAAACCATTTCAATCAATAAGCATCAACGATGAGACAGAGACATGTTTCGTGAGCATCACTGGCATGACATGTGCGAGTTGTGTTGATTCAATTCAACGAAACCTCTCAAAAGTTGAAGGTACAAAGAAAAAAGATCCACTTCACTTTTCTGAATTCAATATTAATTTATCCTTAGGTATTAATTCGGTTCGTGTTGCACTTTTAGCGCATAAAGCAGAAATAAAATATAATCCAGAATACATCATTCCATCTCAAATTGCTTATTTAATTAATGAACTTGGATTTCGTGCTGAAATACTCGATACAGTGGAACAAAGTGTAGATATTATTGATTTACATGTATGAAACATATATTAGAAAACAAAACAAAAAATAAGCGTAGAATTAATTTCTTTTTGGTTAGATTGAAAATATGACCTGTTCATCGTGTGTACGAAAAATTGAAACTTCCATAGGAAAATTACATGGAGTTCAAAGTGCGGAAGTAGCACTACTTACGCATCGTGGCAGATTTAAGTATGATCCGTCACAAATAGGTCCAAGAGATATTATACATGAACTTGACGTAAGAACATGAACATTAAAACAAAAGGAAAGCTTTTGTTTTTCTTTGCATTGTAGTCTATTGGTTTTCCAGCTTCATTAGTTACTGAAGATTCTAAAACAACTAATCTCGCAAAAATTCATCGAAAGGAAACTCGAAGGTACGGTGTGAGAATACACTTTAATCAGACTTAATTATGATAGATCTACTAAAATCTAGAGGGCGTCGTAAAAATAAATCTCTATTATTTTATGGATGTTAAAGTTTTTGTTTTTCTTAATCACAGATGGCGTAATTCATTTTTACTTGCTGCGCTTTTTGGTATTCCAGCGATGATCATTATGATGGCATTTATGTTTAAATGGAAAAATCACGAAGAAGCACCTCAAGTCATACGTGGCTTATCTGTGGAAAATCTCATTATGTTTCTTTTATCAACGCCAGTACAAGTAAATATGTCAATATATATTTATAATTTTTGCAGCTTTATTTTATCGCATTAATAGTGGATTAGTGGTCGCTATTTTTATATTCAAGCATACAAAGCATTGAAACATGGCTCGGCTAATATGGATGTGTTAATTGTGATGGCAACCACCACAGCCTATGTTTATTCGTGCATCGTAGTTTTATTTAATATTACACAACGGCTTCCAAGTCCAATTACGTTTTTTGATGTACCGCCAATGCTCATGATGTTTGTTGCTCTTGGTAGATGGCTTGAACATATAGCTAAGGTTAGTTGAGAGGATTTATAATATTACATGAAGGTTCCTACTACAAGTATGACAGAGTATCTATCTTATAGATTATTTTGAATTTGGTCGAAAGTAAAAATGTCGAGGGTGTGAGTGACACTTGCATACATTTTTTTTTCTTCGTGAAAATGAATCAGCCAGTAGACTCACAATTAAAACAAAAGCGTTTATTATTAAAAAAAGAAGACTGAAAGACAGCGATTGCTGATCCATCTCTAAATAATGTTCTATCCGCTTGATTGAAACTTCTTTTTTACTACAATTAACGACAAACGTTTAAGGAGTTCACATGCTGTAATGAAATAATTGCTATATCTATCATACAACGTGTTTATTCGACTTTGTCACGCTGTTGTTCTTGTGTCTTTCGGTTTCGATGCACCGGATGGTCATTCAAGTTTATACCTTCTTTATTCGAATTAATGAAATATCTCAATCATTGTTGATGATAGATATTGAATCAGAGGGAGTTATCACTTTTATTTTGTTTCTCGAATAATGAACTTATTCGTATTCTTCTTTGTTCATTTCTTTGTACTGAATGAACGATAGTGTGATAGACGGATGATAAATTTATAATAAAATAAGTCAATACTCGCGAAAGAATGATATCTTCACCATACGCCTTTCCAAACAGTCTTCATTTAAACTTCCCTTTTTTTACAACAAAGTTTTATTTCAATGTTCGTACTTTCGACCAAATTCAAGTTTACCATCGTATACAGAAGATTTTTCAAATAAATCTACGATTATTTTTTAGGGAAAAACATCAGATGCTCTAACAAAATTATTGTCATTACAACCGCCGCAAGGAACTTTAGTTCAATTAGATGAAAAAACGAATACAATCATTGAAGAAAAAATTATTCTTGCAAAATTGATTCAACGTAATGATGTATTAAAAGTTGTTCCAGGCGAAACCATACCTACCGATGCGCGAGTTATTCAAGGCACATCGACATGCGATGAATCATTGATAACTGGCGAAGCGATGCCAGTTGAAAAAATGATTGGCTCACAAGTTGTTGGCGGAACAAAAAATCTAAATGGAATGCTATTAATTCGTGCTACACATGTTGGCCATGAAACAGCACTTAAACAAATAATTAAACTAGTCGAAGAAGCACAAACATCTAAAGCACCTATACAAGCATTAGCAGATAAAATTGCTGGATACTTCGTACCTGTTATTGTCGGTTTTTCTGGTGTTACACTAATCTGTTGGATTATTATTGGTTATACTCAGTATGATAAAATAGAAAAATACTCAATGGTTAGAATTTTAATTCCCGCCCCCCTCTCTATTGAGCAAATTTCATTTTAGTATCATCATTCTATGATGGGACATCAATCAGGAAAAGAACCAAGTCGAATGGAAGTTATACTTGAATTAGCTTTTCGTTTTGCTATTACAGTTCTTTCGATTGCATGCCCATGCGCTCTTGGACTTGCAACACCTACAGCTGTTATGGTTGGTACTGGTAAGTCTTGCGTGGAAACTACTTTGTTTGATTTTTTTTTAGAATTAAACCAGTTAATTCTTTATGAAAGTATTATTTGTATTTATTTTCCTAGGTGTCGGTGCTTCGCAAGGTATTCTTGTTAAAGGCGGTGAACCGTTAGAAGCTGCTCAAAAAATTCGAACAATTGTTTTTGATAAAACAGGTACAATAACTCAAGGTAAACCGACTGTTGTCGATACACGTCTGTTTATTCCAAATGATCCTTATTGGACGTTGAAACGCATGTTGGCCATTGCTGGTGCAGCGGAAAGTGGTTCTGAACACCCATTAGGTAAAGCTGTAAGAGCACATTGTAAAGGCCATTTTGGTTGTGAACAATTCGGCCATTGCGAAGATTTTAATGCTATATGGGGTTATGGTTTGAGTGCAAAGGTGAACGGAATTGAATCGCTAGTAAATAAAATCAATGGATCTGGTGATAATATTTCGTTAAATGACAAAACTTATTCTGTTTTAATTGGTAATCGAGAGTGGATGGAAAGAAATAATATGAATGTAACCAATGAAATTGATGCAGCCATGGCTAAACATGAACACGATGGACATACAGCTGTGTTGATTGCTGTTGATAGTAAACGAAAACAAAAGCAAAAAAACGTTGTCTTCTCTAATTTATATTTTAGGTACGATAATTGGTATGATCGCCATAGCAGATCGTATTAAACCAACGGCACCCTTGACAATATTTGCTCTTCAATCCATGGGTCTCAATGTATTACTTGTTACGGGTGATAATGTTAAAACTGCTCGTGCAATAGCAGCACAAGTCGGCATAAAAAATGTTTACGCTGAAGTTTTGCCTACGCAAAAAGAACGCTTTATTGCTACATTAAAAGAAAATAGTCGTAACGGTGATAAAGTCGCAATGGTTGGCGATGGCGTCAATGATTCACCAGCATTAGCACGTGCTGATGTTGGCATTGCTGTTGGCACCGGAGCAGATGTCGCGGTTGAAGCAGCAAATATTGTTTTAATTCGTGATGCACTTGAAGATGTTCTTGGTGCAATACTTTTATCGAAAACTACTGTTCGAAGAATAAGATTTAATTTTTTATTTGCTGTAATTTATAATCTCATTGGTATACCAATTGCGGCTGGAGTTTTTCTTCCACTTGGTATATCACTCATGCCATGGATGGCATCAGCAGCTATGGCTTTATCATCCGTTAGTGTTGTTATGTCATCATTACTGTTAAGAAATTTTCGTAAACCAAATATACAGAAGTACGACAATCAGGAATTTATTCTTTGGTCAATGAATAAAGGAAAAAACATAAATGTTCACCGTGGCATTGACGATCTTGAACGAACACCAAACGGTTCATTTATTTCAAGTTTACGTGGCAGTCGTCTAGCACAGATATTGTCGGGTGCTGTATCAGCTGTAAAACAGCAAGCATCAAGTTCACTTTATGATAAACAAAAAGCAGCACTACTACTTAATACACATTCACTTGATGATGAAACGGAATTACAAGTTGTAACATGAAAAATCATTCCGATACTAAAAGAGCCCAGCGAGTTTATTTTTCTTTTTTTCTTTCATTTTGTTTTGTATTGTACCTGTGATTCAATGTCTTGTCCTATATTTTTTTGCCTTCGAAAATTCACCGAAAATCTTATGTCTATTGTTTATTAATTTATGTTTTATATCAGGTAGATCAAACTTCGTTTATATTGTAATAATGCTTCGCGTTTTTTATATGCATATATTGTATTCGAAAAGTACAATAAAATTTATATGAAAAACAATACAAATTAGAGACATTGGCACGTCAAATCGATTGTTTTTTGTGGGAATCTTACGCATTCGATAACGAGAGATGCTATAATATGACTCATGCGATTTGTATTCCGTAGTACTATATTTTGATGACAACTATTCCGGACACAAAACAGCCAATCAAAGCTCTGACGGGGGTGGAATCATATCCCACACGATGGGATAGAACGGGACGAAATTATTATTAACGTAAATCGTAAGGAATGAGATGTGATAAAGTGAGTTATCCTGTGGGATAATCTCTCTGTCACACCCCTTCGTATTGGGAGCTCTTGTGTGTACATATCTCTGTGACAAAACTATTTAAAGGTTCATTTTTATTGGATGTACAATCGGTTATAACTGCAAAACTTCATATATTATTATTATTAATCATTCTTTTAAACAAAATATATTAACAAAAATGAAAATGATATTTCGGATTCCAGTTACAATTCTTGGCGTACAAGAAAAGTTTCTCATTGTCTGTAGAGATGGTCAGGAAACTGTACAATGGCTATGTGAAATTGCTTATCAAAGATACGCTGAAAAGCATAAAACTAAAACCGTAAATTATTGCTTCGTGGCTCGTCGTATTACTGATGGAAGCTTATTATCACTTGACGATCATGTTGAACAAGTATTAGCCGATAATGAAGCGATAGAAATCGGTAGGATTTATATTCCTTTTCGTTTAAATTTATTAACGAATTTTTATATAGATACAACTAAACATATGAACGATGATGATGACTCATTCAATGTAGCTACGTGAGTTTTTCTATTGTGAATATTAATATTTTTCATTCTCAATATTGATATTTTTGTATTAAATAGCGATGAAAAACGCCACGTAAGTTGTTTTAATTAATAAAAATAAAAATAAAGCGAAAACGTATTCATATAGGTTGTACGATTAGATGGATATCATTTAAAATCTAGTGATCTTGTCCGTCTTGGTACTGGTGACTATCAAATCGAGGTAAATATCCCATGGCAATAGAAACTTTATCTACTGTCATATTCTATTAAATAGTTACCCGATGAAACCTGGACTGCAGTTCGTAAAGCACGAGAAGTTATTG